GCGTAAATTTCGGACGCTAATAAAAATGAAAAAGCGCCTTTTAACATTGCCAAGTACGTGCGGCTATTTAGTAAATAGCACATTACACTAATGTAATTAATAAATCTTGCTAATTGTAATCGGAGGAATTAATGAACCCAAGAGGTTGTTGGTTTATTTGTAAATATCTTCTTAATTAAATATGGCGCTTTAATTATACCTAGTAATTACAACTCTCTGTCTTGTACGGTGTGTTAAAGTGCATAAGAAATATTGGGCAAGTCAGAAACTGCATTTACTGAGCACCATCATTTAACACTTTTCTCTCACATTCGTTCATGACAATATGACCAGAATCAATTTGCTTAGTTATGAAGCAATTTTTTTTTAAATTTGGAAAAATAAATGGATTTATTCACAAAAACAAAGTGAAGGGACATTGATAAAGTTGAAACCCACATGCGCCATTTCGTCTGGTGCTGTATATATTGGTGTAACAATAATAAAATTTGACAAAACTAATTTTGGTGATAGAGGAAATCGAAACAAACATACATTTTCTAAATTAACAGTTTCGTTTAGCAGCTACCCTCATAAAATTCCCAAAATTTGAGTGTATGCAGTATGCTTTATTTTACTTTGTACTTTACGAAGCAAATTTCAATGAATTCAAACAATTTTTTTTGCCAAAAATTGCCGTTTTTTGGAATATTCAAAAATCCTAATTGTTATGTTACGCCCCAAAATAGAATTCGTTCCTTTAGTTATTCGTGTTTGATGCCTCAGCTACGGCAGCAAAATGATCATCGAAAATATCAGCTGATTCGTTGTAGGTTCTCACATGAGGATCCCATATCTACTAACCAGCTACTATTACCATTGTATTTATAAAATACAATGCTATTACGCATGGGGATTCAGCTGCTCTGTGTTTAGCCACTCTTACTCTTTTGGAACACACTCTGATCCATTAGCCGCTCGCGCCATACGTTCGGGTCTTTATGTAGATGAGTTTCATCTATTGAGGACGCCAAAGAATTCGTTCAACAGTTAGTAATTCTCTTCGGCCTGGGTTGCTTTGAGCTTCGCAAATGGGCCTTCAATCTTGTGGAAGTTCGATTCCTTGAGATCATCGTTAGCATCAAGCTCTTTCATTTGATAGCGAATCTTCCAACACTGTCAAAATCCTAGGCCTTCAATAGCGTTCAGCTTCCGATTTCTTCTCCTTTGTCGTCAATCCTCGTGACGTTTCGTGCGCAAAACGCGTAATTTACTTAAAAAACTCGTTAAAGCTTGTTTATTAGTTGATTTGAATTTCGCGCCAGGTGAGTGCACATCCATGGCTGTCCCCATGTAGGTTTCATTTATCAATTCAGCATTAGCAGTCCATCTTAATTTATAAGTTCGTGGTAATACCCAACAGATTTGGTTGTTGGGCTTTGGTTGAGATGCAGAAGCTCCCTATTGTATCGCTTCGCAATAGAATCAATTTAGAGCCTCGTGAGCTGACCCCGGGGAGTAGTTCTGGTTCGTACCTTTGTACGTTACATGGATTTTGTGACGCCGCCGTAATCTATTTTAGTTTTCCGTTTTCTACAATACCAACAAAACAAAGTAGGTACTCACGTGGAAGATAAATTGGGACCGAGATTGGGACTGTTATATACCCATACTTGAAATCTGTAATCATGTAATCAAGATGGCATTTTTGAATAGTTTTCTACATCGCTCGTGCAAATTATACTACTTACACACAGATTGGAACAGAAACTGTTCGAGATGCCTTGGTCCACGTAAGAAGTGCATCTTTATGACTTTATTACTCCGCATTCTCAATTAAAAGTTCAGGATTTTGCTACTAGAAACAAATCTAAAGTCTAGCCAGTTATAAAGTCGTACTCTTAAATTTACTAATCGAAACTGATCAAATCAAGTTATTCCATTATAGAATTCGTGATTGATATAGATTACGAACAGAAAAGTGACGACGCATTGTAAACGTTACTTCCCCGAAGGATGTCCGTTAAGAGCTCACCTTGAAAGCGGAAGACAAAGTTTCCCACGGTAGACACAATAGCAGGCAGACGTCTTAAGAAAGTACATATTGCTCCGTTCTTTTCATCTCTATACATTGGATCAGCCGCCCGTCATAACTAAGAAACGAAACTAAACGGTGTCAAACCAGTTCGTTTCATTTGCGTTGTTTATTGTTACGTGAAAGATATGTGGGACCTCTCTTGTTGCATTTTTGTATTTCTCTGGTACCTTTTTAGGAGTTTTGTAAATGAAGGTACGACAGATGCGAATGCAGTTGAGTTTTGTAATTCTTTATTAGTCACCGTATTTAAATATCCTGTTATGTTACTGTTTTCCTATAATTTCCGAGTTCATGTTGAAAAATTGTAAGTGGGAATGAGATCATCCACAGATATACATTAAAATGGGTGAAGTGGCGAAGAAGTCGCACTCGTAACATAATTAAATCTCCATCCTTTTTTACTGAAGCTTGGAATTTCTGTACAGTTTCCGATACTGTTAAGGAATGACGAACAAACGACTTTTTACTAGATTCACAGGCAAGCAAACCAATTATCTCAATAAATGGTTTTAGTGTAATTATGAGATGACAAGACTGCTTTTAACTTCCTACTGTAAAACGGTTAATAAATGCATGAACATTTATTAGAAATTATCAATGGGGTAGTAAAACAGCTCAACATGAAACAATTGAGACAGAAAATTCGAGGGGTTTGAGTTTTTTAAGAGTAGCTTTAGAACGATTTCTACGAAAGTGACTAAGGTTCCCAAAATTACGAAGAAACTTGCCATGGAGGTTTTTAATAATGCCTTTAAGCATTCTTGTAGGAATATTCCTACACGGTAGGGAAGGTCAATTTGAAGAAAGACCCCGGGAAAGTTTTTTAAAAGTCGAAGTGCTTCAAATTTTTAAGATCTCCATAAAGCTGTCGGAAACTGGAATCTCTTGGTATTTTCGCAAAATTTTCACCGAAGTGAACATTATATAATTTTCTTAAAATTTTTCATTCACTCTTCAAAAGATCTCTTTATTAGTTCTTGAGAAATTTCTCATCCAGTTTTGTCCAAATTTCTGTATACATATTCCTCGAGATTTTTTTCGCCCTTCAAAATTGACTGTAATTTCAAATCTCATTTCTTACACGAAAGTACCGTCTCCTTAATGTCTGCCTTTTGTTCTAAAATTGTCTCCCTATTTTAAAAATTTTCTTATATTCTCAGAGAATTTTTTCATCTTGTAAAATTCTCTTTTTGTTTCTCATATAATTTCATTATATTTCGCCCAAAAGGCCCCTTTTTTTCGCAGAAATTTGTTACTTTACGTTAAATTTCAATTTTTGCTCTGATGTGATGCAAAGAACCGTGCCTTTTAAGGGGATTTTTTTTCTTTCGCAAAATTCCCCTAAAAAGGCACGATGAAGCCATGGGTGGTGCCTCCATGGTGATGGGGGCCACCACTGCTGCCACCAAATCTCGCAATTTAATCATGGACATTAAAGAATCAGGTGCGTAGCGCATATTTCTGAGTTTACGGAAATGTCGTAAAAATCGCCGTTCCTGGATACATCCTTTTTTGCACGATTGAAGTGCAAGAGGGTTCTTTTTACTGCATGTTTGTTGTTTCTTTTTCAGTCTAAAGACGACTCTGGATGTCACTGAATAAGTTTGCATTCATTCACGTTGTGGTGCCACCAGTCTGGCTCTGGTGGCTTTGAAAATCGTATACCTCAGCTCAGCCACCGAATATTTGGAAGTCAGGCCACAAACGCTCGGTGTGCTGTGCTCTAATTGAATCAATGCCTATTCTTAAATTTGCCAAATTGGAGGGCCAATTCGACCGACTTGATTTTAGTTCTAGTTTTGCAATGATGATTACTGAGTTGCCATTGCTCATTTTTTTCATTTTTATACGGATTGCGTACTGGCACTGGTTCCGGTTGCAACAGGTGCTTTTAAATAATTTAATCCCTTGCAAATAGAGCGATTATTTTATAATTAATTAAGCAGAGAAGTTTACTACCCTAAACAAATTTGAAGAACATTATGGGAAATGCCACGCATCTTGCACTAAACACAAATTATAGTCCCAGAAGTGTAAATAAGCATCTAAAAATACTGTTAACTGTGTTAAGTCAGAAGATAAAGATTGTCGTCGGTGAGTTCAACATGCCGGAAGTATGCGGCATTCCAACAATATTTTGTTACTCACTGCATCCACTCCGATGAAAATGGTGCGCGCTTATAAATAAAATGACTAATATTAGAAACAAAGGGAATGCAGATAATTTCAGTGACCAACTTGTCATAATGTTTTATGTTTAATGCCTACTCGACCGACCATCTGCTTCTAGTTTTTACGTTTGTTCAAATTTCAAAGGATTTTTTTATAAAGCTGCTGCTACCGTTATTATTGCCAATCTTCCTCTTTTTTTTTAATTATAAATTTTGTTCCAATTTCAATGAATCTGCATAAACGCCCATTCATTTACATAACTAAGATTTATCATGCATTCTTGGGTAATGTTCTAAATTTATAAACACAAATGTCTGTTTTGCTTAAGCTGGGCCGTCTGGGCAATGGCACAGACCGCAGAGCATTGCATTGCTTTATCAAATCACAAACGTTCCTTTTTACACATTATGTAATTTTTATATTACCAAAATTATCACCCAATTTGTTTTTCACGTTTTCGTTGTTCTCACAAGATGAGACTGATGTGACTAAAATTACTGCATTTGTACCACTTTATGAAATTCGAAATCTTAATAAAAAAGCATCCCCGTCACGGCGTCACGTGACATTTTCACATTTACATCACAAAAATTCTGAAAATTAGTTTACCTTTTTCTACTATGATCTTTGGAGGAGCGAAACGGATATAAAAAACGATTCGTAAGTATCTCCTAAATTTTTATAGGCTGTATTTTTCTGCTCTATTCACGAAAGTAAAAATTCAAAGGTGTAGGGTGAATTAGGGTACGGACATAACGAGGACCCTCGCACAGGAGCATTGCTCCGACCAAAGCATGGTACCTGGGACCTTCGCTCCGACCATAGCGCTTAGGTGGTCACATTGAGGCCTCGATCTCGACATTTGCATTTCAGTTTAAAGCGTTAAAATGAGCGTCATAAACATGGATGTGTTAATATCTTCGTCTGATGATGATGACGTTTTACCAGAGTCAAGTGCTAAAACGTGGTACATATATAAAAAATCCCAAAAAAGAAGGGTTCATCCTTTAAATAAGAAGCGTTTTCGGTATGGTGAATTCCATCATCTCTATAGAGATTTAAGAAATGATTCAGCTCGTTTTTTTGAATATATGAGAATGGCAATTAGTACATTCGATTATATTTTAAGTAAATTTGGAGATAGCTTAGAAAAATCATACCAAAATTGCCACTCTCAGCCAATAGGAACGGAAGAACAACTGATGCTAACCTTGAGGTAAGTACATATACAAAAAGTTTATTTATTAAAAAAATACAAAGTACACTTATCTAAAATTGAGTAGGATACATATTATTAAGGTAGGCATTCTGGTTCTGTTCTTCTCTAAGATCACTAAAAAACATTTCTGAAGGAATACTTAACGAGGAGTGCTTTGGATTTGATGATGAAGGTTGATTTTGTGGAACTAGTTCTGTTATGTGCGGTTCGTCCCTAGGTGGATTTGCTTCAATTGAATCATGTACTAGTTGAAGTACTTTAATACGAAATTGCATTTTTCTTTTTGGAGAAAACTGTCGTACGTGTGGCAAAATGCTTTTAAAAAAAGATTCGTCCTCATCTAGCTCTTTTCTTACTGAATTTAATTCAATCATTGCCTCTTTACTTTTTCTATTCTCTTCTCTCCTTTTTAGATATTCAATTTTCTCTCGTTCGGCTATAATTAAGGCTTCACCAATGTGGTCCTTTTTGCTAGACCTTTGGGTTTTAACTTTTTTCGTTACTGGTGTTGGCGAACTTCTTGGCGACGCTGGTGTAGATAAAGGAACTGACTCGGTGACGGACGATGGAGCTTGGGATGAACTTTCATCGCCAGTATCCTCTCCACTTTGATCTTCTTCGTTACTAAAATTGCCTTCCGTTTTCCTAGGCGCACAAGAATCTTTTAAAAATAATAAGGACTTGAAAAATGGCCAATCAGACGTTTCAGTGTCGTCCTCCACTCCATCACCAGACCTTTTAACGGGTTGCTCTGATAGCTTTTTTATGAACGTTTGTCGAAGCCTTTTCCACTGAGCTTTTGCGGATGTCGCTGAAAAGATAACATAACGGGGTTTTATTGTTTAATACATGAAATCTTATAAAAACTAAAAAATATGTTCCTAACCTTCTAACACCTTACATCTTTTTTAGATTTTTTTCCACCGGATTGTCCTTCAGAAGTTTAGTGGAAGGTTTAATGACGAAGCAAAAGCTGTACGAGATGGTTTTCAAACTTATTTTATGCAAAACAACTAATAAATATTAAGTAAAACAGCTATAATATAATTACTTACCTGGTACACCACACCCCTCTGCAACTTCCTTCCACAATTTATTTAAAATTACGCAATTGTGATGATATTTATTTTTTTTGTTCCATATAGCCTCTCGGACAAATACAAGCCCGATTAATTTTTCTTTATCTACCATTGCGTGAGCGATGGTCGACGGTCGAAAAAATACTAAGCTCAATTCCATGGTACCAGGGCCTGGCTCAGACCTATGAGCGGAGCGGGGGTCGAGGCGCCAATATGACCGCTAACATTTAAAAGCACTGAATGTTTTTTTTTGTGATCGATGCTATGGTGCTATGCTATGGTCGGAGCGATGGTCGGCGCTCCGTTATGTCCGCCCACTTAGAGTTCGTCAACCATCTATCTCAGTTGATATCTATCTTTACAATCATTTTCTTGCCAGTATAAAAAAATGCAAGTGTCTTGTTTGTACGTAACAACATAATAGATGCGGAAATAGAGGCGACTACTTTGAATTATTTATGTAAGTCCCTCTAAGTATAACAAAAAACGACGATGATATAATAAAACACAAACCTTGAAAACTTTCACGTCTATTATTCAAGATAAGAAAAACAAAAAGTCAAGCGGTGTCGACTACGGCTTTGTTTATTATAAGAAATGCCGTGTTAATCACGTGTGTGGTACATACAAGAAACCTTTAGAAGAAATGAAAACAACTTTTCGTTTCCACAGCTGGTGTCAGGAAGTCTCTAGTTACACATGTGTTGGCTCCGCTGCTATTTAAACATTAAAAAGAGCATAATTTCTGTAAAACTAAAAACGGTTTTAACAAAGAGATTGATTAAGCAAACAATTTTGAGCATATAATAGGCGAAAATAGGTCACCTAAAACTTTCAGTTAGGTATTTAGCTAACGCAAAAACAGGGGACTTTCCGCTGTACTGCTAACCCATAAATTTAGTCCAGTCAACCCTGATTCACAGGTGTTGCACATTAAAATACGGAAACCGCAAGCTGAAATTTTGCGTTACTTAAAAATAATGGAATTTGTGAATTAGTGTTACGTCCGCAGTAATTAAATCACCAAGAATTCATTTCCTCGTAATTTGAATCGTCTCGCAGCTGCTGGTTAATTGCTAATGTTTTTTAAGTGCGAGTAAAGAGAAGCGAGACATCATCGAATTAATGAACCGCATAAAAACGCGATGCATTCCAGATTTAGGGTGGTTTTGAGATACCGTATAAGCAGGGGGTAACAAAACAAGTGTGACGTTGCTAGAGCCCGGCACTCGGCAGACAGGTTGCACATCTGTCCCCGATTTTCTCTTCGGGGGGCATTGCGTCACGGTCGCCTAAACAAAGGGTGCTAGATGGATTCAGTTTCTTTGAAGCCATAATAATAAACGTTACAAATATAGAATATACGACTTACATGAAAGTTGATCATAAAAGTGTCGTAGGAGATTAAATACGCAAATACTTTTCACAGATTGTAAACTAACACCACTGCCCCATTATGGTGTGCAATTTCAACATTCTTTAAATGCCCATATCAAGGAAGGAACCACAACTTACTGAATAGTTGTGCGAATTCAACTTACAAAAATCCATAACCTTTTTACCTTTCAAATGTCAGAAACGGTTGAAAACTGAAAAACGCTGGAAAATTGCATTCCGAGATTCCCCGTTGTGCTTATGATAACTTCATATTATACTGATAATAAAAATTACGTTTCTCCTTAAAATTGCAGGTGTAAACAAATGCGCAATTTTTTTCAGCATGCGGGAAATCTCAATGCGAATGTATACAGTTGTATACTTATTGAAAAACAGAATTGAAACAATAAATTTCAATAAAAAATATCATGTTCACTTCCGTAATTCCAGTTCTAGAAACATTTATCCAAGGAATATTTTGCCCCAAGAAATATTTAATTTTGCCTCTAAAAAATAAAATCCGAAAAAATTTGTGACCAAGAAATCTTGCTATCAAGGAAACATTGTTTCCCTTTCTTGAGACAGTTTCCAAAACAAAAATTCGTGCTTGAATGATTAATGATTTTTTCTCAATGAAACAAAAGGGTAAAACTATTAATCATTAAACGATTTTATTGGTAATTAAAGAGAGAGCCTTCGCAGAAAATAGTTTTAGAGATTGCTAATCGATTGAAGAAACAAAAATGTTGGATGTGCAACAAAAGTTACAACCACCTCAATTGAAGAGTGTTCTGGAGGTAAGAGCGAATTTGCCTAAAAACACAAAACTCAAAATCGGAAGGGATTTAAGTTTTATGTGGCAATTGGAGGGTAGATCCATGAAAAATAAATCTATTGACGAAACAAAAACTGTGAGTGCAACAAAACTGCAACAAACAACAAAAGCCGCCCAATTAATTAAGGAAATGTTAATTTTTGAATGTAGATAACTGAATACGTTGTGTCGACTGTTAAAACCGACGATCACCCCGTGAAATAGACGAATTTTATAAAACGTAGAGCGGTTGTTTAGAGGAGATCTTTTTGTCTTACCGTTACTGACTTGTAGATAGTCCATTCTATGGGTCCAGTTTTAAGCGCTCTTCCGAGCATTTCGGCCGGGCCGATATTTCATTAATTACACGTGTTATGTTCGCTTCTAATGCAGGAATAGTTTGTGGTTTATCGGCATAAACAAGTGATTTGACCCCATAAAAAGTAATCTAACGGCGTTTGATGACATGATATTGGTGGCCAATTCACTGCTCCATTTCTTGATATGATGTTCTCATCAAAAGTTTCTTTCAATAAATCGATGGTTTCGTGTGCTGTATCAGCTGTATGGCACGTCGCACCATCTTGTTGAAACCATAAGTCGGCTACATCAATATCTTGAATTTTTGGCAACAATTTTTTCATTGTGGGTTCAGTTGGACGATTATGAGGGGTCTAGGACACTTCGCCGAATGCCCACAACGCCGACACGATTTTTTGAAGGTCCATATCGCAGACTAGGGACACTACGCCGACGGACACTACGCCGACCGTGCCCACATCGCCGACAAGTGTGCAAGGGACACAACGCCGACCATGCCCACTTCGCCGACGGACACTACGCCGATCGTGCCCACATTGCCGAAACGTGTGCAAGGGACATTAAGCCGAACGTGACCACAACGCCGACTGTTCGAAAATCCAGGCCCCTCATACTCTGTCCAGTGTATGAGTTTGCATTTTAAAAAGTTTAAAAAACATGTCCTAAACCTACAAATAACCTAATATCCAAAGCTGAATTTTCGTATGAGTCTGTAGTTCGAAAAAAGTTAAAAAAATATTCTGAACCTACAATAACCTAACGTCAAAAGCTACTAATTGGTAGCTATCCATCTTATAACGACTCAAAACGGGGTGAAATTGACTAAGTGGAAATTATAAAAGCACTAAACCTTCCCCATACTTCATTTAATTATTTAGATTTTAAAATTCAGACATTATGTGACAGCACAGCGACTATAGTTTCGACCCTGAGGTCATTATCAAGCTTCAGTTTGAAGGAACATATAAAAGTAGTTGAAAATTACATATTAATTGGTAACATTTGGTTGATAATATGGGGAAAAATTGCTTATTCGAACATGGAAACAATTACAATTACAATATTAACAAATTTAAGGCTTTTTGCCCTCACATTTTATAAACAATTGTTAAATTAAAATTGAACGAGATGGACGCAGCCATCTTGACAAGCAAAGTCTTTGTCAATTCAATGTCTGAATTTAAAATCTGAAACAATTAAATGAAGTATGGGGAAGGTTTAGTGCTTTTATAATTTCCACTTAGTCAAAAGCTACACCGTCCAGCTTGATTAAGAAGTGTTGTATGAGTCGACGTTATGGTCACGTTCGGCTTAGTGTCCCTTGTTCACTTGTCGGCGATGTGGGCACGGTCGGCGTAGTGTCCCTTGCACACTTGTCGGCGATGTGGGCACGGTCGGCGTAGTGTCCGTCGGCGTAGTGTCCCTAGTCGGCGATATGGACCTTCAAAAAATCGTGTCGGCGTTGTGGGCATTCGGCGAAATGTCCCGGCCTCATTATGAGCACCATGTCCATAAAATAGTCGAAGAGCACGAAAAACATTTCTCACTGAACACTGATTTTGGAAATAAATTTCCCCGATTTGTAATCGTTGTTCTGATGTAAGTTTATTCATGGTGAAATGTCAACTAATAATGAACAAAAAACACATATGCACATGACAGCTATCTTGACTAAAGTTTTTAGAATCCTTATTGGAAAAAGTACTTCGTATATTTGATCACCCGCGAATTATGACTTAATAGCATTATGCAAAGTTTTTGTATGTCATTGTGTTGTTATTTGCGTGCGCAGCGTGTGTTAAATTTGTTTTGTTTGTCCAATGAAAGTTTCCCTTGTTTCGGGTTCAGCAATTTAAATTTAATAGTGCAGTTTTATTTGAATTACGGATTTCCGTAACTTCAAGATTTTGATAAGTCAGTGTTGAGATTTTTCTGCGTTTCGGGACCCAGTTGGACCCTGAGAGTCCATTTTTTTTTAATTATTTAAAAATAAAGTTTATTGGAAGATGGTAATACAAGGTCTGAGGTCTGTTACAACTTTTAATTTGTGTAATTTCAGCTAGTTAGGTAAGTGTTAATTGAGTGATGTAATAAACTCGTGCCATTGCACACAGTAATAATTTTTGGTGCCCACCGTGGAGCACAGCATTTTTTTTGTGCCCGAATGAAAAGACAGCAATATATTAAGACACTGCATACACCAAACAAGGTGTAAATTACACGAAACAAATCCTCGGCCCCTCTTTTGTTGCTCTGTTTTCAATCGACAACCAATTACTGGATCTGGAATTATCCAAACTTGTATATCATTCTTATACAGCTATGCAATAGAAAAATAAAATTTTAACTTTTACATGTTATCAACTTCTTAAGACTGCGTTTTAGAAATTTGTAATATAAGGTGACGTACCTATGTTTTTCTGAATTTCAACGTAGATGAATCATTGATACAGTGCTACTAGTTCAGTCAAATTAGCACAATTTTGGACAAATAAAAACATTAATCGGTAAAGATCTGAATTTTGGTATACACATTTATTGGGACTTTCTATTGAACATACTAAAAGTCTCCGTCAAAATCTGTTGCGCTCGAGACGCCATCTTGGAAAAACGGTACACTTTTCCAGTTTTTTGCCCATGTCTTGGCAACTATTACTGATACGATGAAATAGTTTACATGATAAATATAGTTTACTAAATTCCCTATAAAAAGAGTATTTACATTTTTTTTGTATCTCCAATATACTTTAGCTGTAATCTCACGTTGAATACGTCAGAACGCGTTTAGGCCCCGTATCGTATAG